AGAGGTTTTCATGAGTTTAAAGCTGGAATGATTTTTCGCCGTTGTGGGTGTGAGTGCGTGAATATGCACGAGAATCTTAGGCGTGAATTTTGTTTGCCGCATTCGCACACGAGTTTATTCTCGCAGGGAGGCTCAATGAATGAGATTTGAGAATGATTTTCCAAACACTGGCTGCCAGGAACTACTTTGACTACAGAAACTACTAAAGTACTTTGGTGTAAAGCAACATCTCCCAATTACCGTACAAGAGCCATTCCCGCCAGCGACCTGCAGCCGTCCCTGCCCTGTGTGTGGGCCTGGTGAAGGGGTCTTCCAACCACTCGTTTACGGCAAGTATGAACTCGTCCATGTGAATTCAACTGTTGATCCGCCACTTCGTTTCAGTTCATCTTCGCTTATGGCAACCACTTCGAGCCTTTCTACGTCAGGTGATCTTTCGCTGCCTGATAGTTCACCGTTCTCTCGTGCGGATCCTGGACAAGTTATCATTGACACGGCTCGCACCGAACCCTCTAGCGGTTTACGTGTCTACTATCATCTATGACTAAATTGGACGATGTTTATCTGGCTGCGCTTGAAGGGGAATATGACGTTTATGTATTCACGGAAACTTGGCTCGATGGGAGGATCAATTCAGTGCAACTGTTTGGTGACTCTTTTACTGTCTACAGATTAGACCGTAATTCATCCAACAGCATTCGTACTCGCGGTGGTGGTGTGCTCATCGCTGTTTCCAACGAATTCGCCTCCTGCGTAATCTCCAACGAACTATTTACTACAATTGAAGCGGTTTGGGTTAAGGTCAACCTCACTTCGCGGGACATCCTCATTGGAGCGGTGAATACTCCCCCTGAACGTTGACATGACTGCACCACAATGCAGCTTCATCTGGATGCTACAGAATTTGCATCGTCCATGACTGATATAACGGATGTGCTTCTTCTGCTTGGTGATTTTAATCAGCCTGGGCTTAGCTGGTCACCCTCAGGCCAGGGTTATGCGTTTCCAGATCCGATTGCATCTTCAACTACTCCTGCCAGCCGCTTGCTTGTTGACGGCACGGCTTTTCATGGACTGAGCCAGATAAACCTTGTTCCCAATTTCCAGTCTCGTTTTCTTGACTTGGTTTTTGTTAGCGAAAATGCACTTCTGGACTGTGTCGTCGTTGAAGCGCCTGATGTCATCGTTCCTCTTGACAATTTCCACCCTGCTTTGGATATATCTATCGCGAACGGATCTCAAATTCGTTTTGATGAAACCATGACTGCCACTCGGCTCAATTTCCGGAAGACCGATTTCCGTTTGCTGAGACGTTCCTTGTCCCGTATCAACTGGAACGTGTTGAATGACCTTGATATCGATACAGCAGCCGCTCGCTATAATAGCCTTTTGCGCGACTGTGTTTGTGCTTCAGTACCGAAGTGCCAACCTCCAAGAAAACCGCCTTGGTCTAACGCTACTCTCCGCAACCTGAAACGAGTGCGATCTAGAGCTCTCCGTGCTCTCACTCATCGACGATGTACCCTTACCAAGCGAAATTTTTCAATTGCCAGCAATGATTATCGCCACTACAACAAGCTTCTTTACAAGAGGTATGTAATTCGTACTCAACATAATCTGCAATGCCACCCCAAGGGATTCTGGTCGTTTGTGAATACTAAGAGGAAGGAAACTGGACTGCCGTCAAAAATGTTTCTCGGCAATGACGTAGCATTGACAACTGAGGACAAATGCAGCCTATTTGCTAGGCACTTCTTAAGCGTCTTCTCGAATGACTCCCCATCGCAAGCAGAAATTGAGCGAGCCGTCCGTGATGTGCCAACCGACGTCGTAAACATGGATGTTTTTGCCGTAGATGTACAAATAGTTCTCTCTGTGATGAGTAAAACCAAATCATCATTTTCACCAGGTCCGAGTGTTATTCCATCTGCAGTCCTAAAAAAATGCTCCGATATCTTAGCTGCTCCGTTGTCCTTGCTTTTCAACCTGTCACTTCGTCAACAGAAATTTCCCGCACTATGGAAACGGTCTACTGTTCCCTGTTTTCAAGAAAGGAGACAAACGCAATGTGGAAAACTACCGTGGGATTACCTCGCTTGGGGTTGAATCTAAGGTGTTTGAGTCGCTGGTAAATGAGAGATTGTTTGCTTCCTGCAAGCATTACATAAGTACATGTCAACATGGTTTCTTTCCTGGCCGCTCCGTGGAAACTAATCTCGTCAGCTTTACGTCGTTCTGTATGGAAAATGTATGCAAGAAACTTCAAGTCGATGCCATCTACACTGATCTTGAAGCTGCGTTTGATAGAGTTGTGCACGACGTTCTGCTAGCAAAGCTTGAAAAAATTGGATGTTCTGTTTCCTTCTGCAGCTGGCTTAGATCGTACCTCGTGCAACGTGAAGTTACTGTATGCATTGGAAACTACTCATCGTACTGTTTCTCGAACAGTTCAGGAGTTCCACAGGGTAGCACTTTGGGACCAATGCTCTTCTCTTTATTTGTGAACGATGTAACGTTTATTCTACTACGAGGAGGTAAATTGTTTTTTTGCCGATGATTTGAAGATTTATCTAGTCGTTCGAGGCTATGCCGACTGTTTAGAACTACAAAACCTTCTTGAAATCTTTAATGATTGGTGTGAACGTAATGTTATGGTCCTGTGCGTCTCAAAGTGCTGCGTAATTAGTTTCCGTCGAACTAGGACTGCCATTTTCTTTGATTATAACGTTGCTGGAACTGCAGTTCAACGTGTCGATCACGTTAAAGACCTCGGGGTCATGTTGGATGAAAAGCTCACATACACTCGCCACTTCTCAACCACGATCGACAAAGCTAATCGACAGCTTGGATTCATGTTCAAGATATCTAAGGAATTTCGTGATCCTCTGTGTTTTAAAGCCCTTTACTGTTCATTGGTACGCTCACTACTGGAATTCGCGTGTGTTGTCTGGAATCCCTACCAAGCTGTATGGAGTGGACGATTCGAAGCTGTTCAACGCAAATTCGTCAGATACGCACTGCGCTATCTTCCATGGAGTGACCCGCTGAATTTACCACCGTATGCTGACCGCTGTCGTTTACTGGGTTTGGATACTCTTGCTAAGCGACGAAACATATCGCAGGTCGTCTTCGTTGCTAAAGTTTTACTCGCAGAATATGATGTTCCTGAGTTACTGACCAAAATTAATCTGTATGCTCCTGCCCGAACACTCCGTCCGAGAACCTTGCTACATGAAGTAGTATATGCAACCAACTATGCTGCAAACAGTTCCTTTGTCGCCATGATTCATCAACTCAACGAAGCCTCTGACCTATTTGACTTTGACATCAATGCCTCGATGTTTCGTCATCGTTTGCTGTTGGCCAATTTTTAATTTTTAATGAGTGACTACATTTAGATTTAAGTGTTTCATTGAGACTATCAAGTCAGATGGACTATAATAATAATAAATAAATAAATAAATAAGAAGACAATCAAAGTTGCATCAAACAGCTTCAGCAAGATGGTATTCAACGGCGGTTCAAACACGTGGACACAAAGTACCACTTCATCAAAGATCTGAATAAGAAGAAAGTAATAAAGGTAAACTACACACCAACCGCTGAGATGATAGCTGATATCCTGACGAAGTCGCTAGGTGCTACAAAGCTGGCGGATTTTCGTAATGGACTTGGTGGTTGAGGAGGAGTGATAGATGAAGTAACCTGAAGTAGCAAGCCATGGCAATTAGATTAAAATTAATAAACTATTTTTGAACAGTCACTACGACCAAGCAGACGTGTTTCGCTGACTCTATCAGCTTTGTAGCTACGCCAAACCAATATTGAATATAGATGTTATGAGGCCAAAATGACATCAAAAACTAAAAAATGGCTTCAAAATACAAAAAAAAACTAAAATTATGTGATAAACTGAAACTCTATAACAAAAAGTCCAAACTGAGGTATTTCGCCAAAATAAAAAGTTAAAACATTTAAAACTGCAAATCAGTTTAAAAACGTACAAAATTGTCTGAAAACACTTTGAAGGTCAACGCATTAGTAGTTATAAAACAACAAAGTAGTATTGAATATAAAAATTCCTAAATTTCAGAAATGGACTTCACATTTAAAATGATTTTTAATCTTCAAGAATCGTTCTGAAAACACTCAAAATAGTATAACATACGTCAAAGCTACCTAAAAAACGCCAGAATTGGCAACACAATCGCTGAATTATCCTTGAATTATCAAAATGGTATTAACTAGCTAAAATTACCAAGAATACCATTACAATCGCCAAAATGGCCTTCAAACAATTAAACCAACCTAAAAACTCTTGTAATAGTCTCTACAACGCCAACTCTTATAAAATTACTCTGCTAAATGACAATTAACCTCTAAATTAAAGCTAAGTTCATTGTGAAAATACTTAAAAACGGGTATTATATAAAATTCAAAATTTGTCTCAACTAAGAGGCAGGCATATCAAGAAGACTTTAGCATGCAAAAGTGTCAGAGAAAAAATCGTTTTCATGAATAAATCAAGATTGCAAAATTTGCCTGGGGTCATATTGACCCCCAAGATACAGACAAAGGGTTAAATTCCACAATGACATTTAAATCTCAAAATGACCTCAAAAGGCAAAATTAAATGATTCAACAGTCTTTAAAACGCCGAAACATGGGACCCATTAGTCGCAACAATGGCATTTGCAAATCTGAAATGATTTTAGATCGCATAAGGGAGAAAGATTCCGTTAAGAGATTTAAATCAGTATTTGAAAATGTAATTGTCCGAATTTTCACGACCCATCGATTGAGAAACGCTGGCCTATAGTGTTCAAAGGGGGGTAAATCGTGCGTTAGTGTTGGTCTATTGCGTGAGACCAGCTGTTATCACGGTCAACGTTCAACTTTTACGTACGTGTTGAATATATTTTTTTTATCTTTCAACCCTCGATTAGCTGACGACATCCGCCGTCTACGGGAGTATTCTGTTCTGGGGTTTTAAAAATTACCTTTTGTTCGCGCTATCCGATAATCTCTCGACGCTAGGCAACACCAACTCGCTCGTCGGTCGTTCACGACGTCAGTGAAGTGCGCTTGGGAACACACCTCCAAAAATACAAGCTTCGCGCACCTCCACCAAACCGTAGGATCGACCTTTTGCTTGATTCTTACACAATTAAAAACAAAAAAAAAAGTTAAGTCACACTCGCCTCAAAACACTGCGTAAGGCTGGCCTCGATCTCTCTTCAAAATTGCTGCGTATTTAATTTTCTAACAACCATTAATTACACCACTCGTACTCGCGTTGCTTTCGATTACAGGTTACTAGTGTAGAGAAGTGCCGCCAAAGCCAACACGACACACAACTCCTCAACATGTAATGCACTCTGTACAAAGACTGTGATGCACTTTTCGCCCTCTTTCTTCTACGCTAACGGGTTAGAAAATTGCACTCGGGCACTTGGCAGCGTAACACAGCAGGTCACAAAGGCACTGGCAATGCACACTCCTCGCGTTCTCCTTTTCGATGGGCCGTGGTTGCAGGTTCATTCATCAACGGCCAAAACGGCTCATTAGCATAATATCACTGATGGTTTTTGTCGTATTAATAGCTGGCAGGTCACTGCTGCTTGCCAACTGCCTGACCTCGAAGAAGTTCGGCGAAAGCTACCAAAGCATCCACAGCCACAGGTAGCCAATCGTTCCCGCCCCAAAACAATGGTAGATCATCCGATGCGATTCGCTTCGATTTCGAACCACGACTTGCGGGTATCAAACTGTTCCAACTCGAATCTTTATGCGAATTTGTTAAGCGAGGATGAATGGAGGCTAAAACGTCCTAACCGATCGCTGGCGAAATAGCGACTGCTTGGTAGGCGACGACGAGTTTGCCTTGCTGGCACGTTGGCTGTCGGCTGTCGGTCTGTTCAATCATATGCTCACAATACTATCAGCCTCCTCTATCCACGCAAGTGGTTGGTGGTTGGGTCGGTAGGTGTGTTGTTTACTTTCCGCGTATGGCGAATTTTTTGCCTTTCAGCCCACAGCGGCTATGTTGGTGTGCGATGGTGTGGTAGTTGTGATTTGTGATTTACCTACTGCTGTATGACTCTTTGTTTGTTTAGTGGTTGGCGAAATCACTGCGAATTTATAAATCGTTTGCATTTTTTAGTATTGGTAACGGGTAAGGGTGGCTCTAATTAGCTATCAAAAACTTATTATCTTAAAAAGATTTAATCATATAGCATTTTGCAATTCGCTACCTCCCTGAAAACTGTTATACTATACAAACTGGTATAATCTAATTGCGAGAGGATTGATACATTCACACTTTCCAGTCGGAAAGACAACGGGAGCTTTAATAAGGAAAATTTCCATTGTCTCTTTACTCATTCGTCCATCGATGCAATCAGTGCAGCATGGCATTATACGGATCGGATTCATATCTACATAGCTCGAAGGGGTACACAATGGTTCCTACTACCTACTGCGGATGTATCACACAAAACGAATACGAAAATTATGCTGAGGGAAAGTTTAGCTCTTTGTTGCACTGTTCTCTATGACAATACCCGAAAAATATTTACTTACTGCAAGTTTTTCGGTGGAATCATTGAACTTGCTGTAAAGGGTGGAACGGTCAAAAATTGGTCAATCATGATTAAGTGCTCACTGATTATGTTATTGCATATGTTAAAACTTTTTTTCTTTCTAAAGTTCAATAACTACAAAATACCAAATGCGAACCGTCGGGCTTTACGTTTCACACCTACCATTAGATTGTGTACCGCTGTTGTATCAACCTTATTTGATGCTGTACGTCAATTTGCTTTGAACTATATCTCATTTCCAACTGTTTTCTGTGTTTTCTTGAGGTTCCTTTCAACGATTGCCCAATATTTTTAAATTGTGTGCAGCTCCGGCGAGTTTGGAGGATTTTTATCCTTGGGTACGACTTGCACGTTGTTGGCGGTCTACCGTTCCTGAGCCATTTTCCCGAAGTGACAGGAAGCAAGGTCTGGCCAAAACAGCTCGGAACAACTGTGTTTCTTCAAAAAGGCAACAAGCGTTGATTCATAATAAATAATAACACACACCTGCCGACATCATCCGATTCCATCCACTATTCTTCGATAATCCTGGATGAGTTAGAATTATCTCTCTGTTTACTCTAATATGTTTTAGTGTGTTTATGTTTACTGTCACTTTCATGATCGCGCCGTTTTCGCTTTCGGTCAATCTCAAAAAAAAAATCACATATAGAACTGTAGATTCTTTTAGGCCACAACACTCTTCCCCGGAGTAACAACAACAATCACCCTCACCTGCCAATCTTCCGTTCAGCAAAGCAGTTCCGTTTAGTTGATGCAGTCTTGGACCCCAAGCAGTGGCAGGCGATCGGATACTGGAAACGTTACCGGAAAAAAAATTCAGCAGATGCGTTTCTCAGTTCTTTCCAACTTCCGAATGAACTCATCGAGGACAAGACTAGCATCCACCCCCGGGGTCAAGTTAACCAATCCGAACTCCTTGCACTCCAAAGGGTATCCGGATTAAATACTCATCCCCTCCGTCCTCTGTCTCTGGTCCATGACCGCCGTCCCATTCTGTGACCCATAAATTCCGATCGCGCTAATCTACCTGTATATCAGCGACAACGCCTCGCAATTCGCCTAACCACTCTCCGGTTCGCAACCCATAAGCACCAGAAAAAGAAGCTTCGGCATTCCGCCTATACCGCTTCCAACCAACAACCTCCCTAGCAAGATCGAGACAACCTCTCACTGAGGACTCCCTAAATCCAGCCGTCAACCAAAACTCGTTTGGTCTTACAACCACCTCAGGATGCTTAATTATTTCATGATTATCAGCCATGCAAGTATCAAAGCAAATACACTCAAATAACCAGCAAGCCCGCTAACTACCTGGTAATAGCCCCTGTTTCGCGATATAAGGTAAATATACGGTTTCCGAACTTTATATCAGTCGTTTATCAGCCTTATATTGCAAAAAGGGCGATTAGCGGGTTTGTTGGTTACTTGAGCAGCATACCTGGTGCTGCTCGGTCAGACGTCGGTTTCACCTATTTGGACAGAACCCGTTATCCAGGTTGCAATCGGCGATTTCGAGGCACCCACATTCCCAATCGAACTCTGACGAAATCCACCTCAACATCTCGACACTAAACGTTCAAATTTATGACGCAATCAATCTACGTGGGAATAATTTGGATTTCGCTTATGCGCGAGTAAAATTTTGAAACGCTGTAAAAAAATCGCCAAATTTGAGTCGACCAATTTTTGACCGTTCCACCCTTTTATATTTAACAGAGGTGGGCAATCCGCCCATGAGCAGAGCTAATGAACTAGTTCCCCGGGATGAACGGTGAACACCAACTCTCTCACATACAATGATAGAAGAGCAATAGTTGGTATCGCTTAACTCGAATTGTTTACATTTGTTACTAAGGACCTTTTGAAAAGAGACGCGAGAACTCTTTTTAAAATGAACGATAGCTCACGTGCTCACCTTTTAAGATTGTGAATTAGTTGTAATCTGAGTACTGCGGAGTAAATCGATTTCGTTTTGCAAGCCAATGGAAAACTGCTTGAAAATTTGTTCAAGTTTAAAATTGTTTTGTTCTTTCTGAGTTGATTCCCGCCAAAAGCTTTGAGCCAGGAGTGCTCGAGCCCCCATGACTCTATCAAAGTTTGTTTACAAATATGTTTCGCCAAAGTATGTTTTACTGCAATTGAAAACTCAGCGGAGTCATAAAAACTATGCTGGTTTTTATACTTTCATCATTGAGCCTGTTGGTTTTTGTCTTTGAGCTTGCAATTAAGAATGTGTTATGAAAAAGTATGAATCATTTTTATGAGATTGCAATGCTTGACGAGAGGTAAGAACAGTAAGTGAGTTTGTTGCTTCTGAATGTTTGGTTCCCGTTTGACAGTTCTGACTGGCTCCCAAGTGACAAGCACATTGAGTGAGTCCGCAGTACCCAGGTTGTACTGAGCGTGAGCGCGAACGACAGCTGAGCTAGTTGTATTATGGTTGTAAATACCATAGAGGTAACTCTAAGACCACTGGGTCCCGAAGAAAATCATTATTATTTTTGGCTCACTCAGTACCAGAACCACGGTCCCAAGCAGTCCCAAGCTATTTCACTCACCCCTGCATGTTCTGCATGAATCCACACACCCCTGATGTTATCTGTCAAACTTTCATAGCGAATCAAAATAAACATAGTGTAGTAATAGAATTTCAACTAGAATAGGGTACGTTAATCGTTTGCTTGGGACCAATAGGCTACTAAAGAGGTGAGCCAATTTAAAATCGTTAGTTTCGTATTGATTGTTGGTTGTACTGAGCGGGAGCACGAACGGAAACTGAATAAGAGTGTGAACGGGAGCTGCGCGAGGGCAGAGCGTCTGATTGCAATGAGAGCGAAATGGAACGGTCGAAACTGATAGAAAAAGAGCAAGAATGGAATAAATTCAAAATAGACTAGCGTTTGCCATTCTTGCTCTCACTCTGGACATTTTTTTAAAGTAGGATTTCGTCTTTCGGCAACATATTGGGGATGCAATTTCAATCAACCGCGTTACGAAAAGTGGTCATGTTTTGACTTCTAATAACTCTGTCAATAGCGGATGGATATTATTTCTAAACAAGCCAACCGATTGAAATGTCATCTACGAATCTGCTAAAATGAACACCTTATCAATTTTCAAAAGGTCACTATTGAAAATTGCACGAATGTTCTTTTAATTATTTGAAAATCTATTATCTTAACTCCTTCTGTATTTGAATTTGTTGGTTGTTGGCCCTGAAAAGGGTCTTTCGTTTTTTAAATGGTTGCCCTGAAATGGACCGTTTGTTGTTTTTTCGTAGCGTCCATCGAAAGGGTTGTTGGAGTTGGAAAATACGGAACGAATAAGTACTAATCGCTGTTGCCTTTTGGCACTCCTATTAATTTGGCGCTATTTGTTGATATTGCTTCGGTGGATGGATAACTAACACGAAATGCATAAACGTGCTACCAATTGACATCTGCGGGAAGGTTTAGAGCTGGATGATTTACGCAAGTTTGTTCTCTCACGGAGACTCAATGACCCAAAGCTGATAGTGATTTTCCGAACACTGATATTGGCGCTGATTGATGAATCTCCGCTGTTATTTCTCTCCACGAATTAAAAAATATTTCAATTTTGTGAACCAAAACAGGTCAAACAACCCACCATCAGAGAGCCTCCGATGTCCGCGTCCTTCAGGGTCCTACCAAATTTGTGGTGACCATTTCCGTCGCAAATGAAACTGCCATTTTGGATCGAAGCGAACAAACTGGTGTACTTGTGTATCTGCAGAGACAGCGTGCTCAGTTGGCTTTCCTGGCAGCAGCATTACGCAGGTGATCAATGTAGTCAAACTCAGCTGTGTAACGTTCGAAGGATGTCGTTGCCGTTAGTAATGCTTCTCATTTCGATGTCCTCGTCCACTTTCTGGGTCTTTCAAATTAGTTGTGATGACTGTCCCTACTCTAATGGAATTGCAACTGATCACGTTCACTGAATTACAGTCTGTTTTAACACTTGCAGAATAGCTAATTAGGCCCCTTCCTTTTGAAGTATTTTTCGTCAGAACGTTCCTAGTTGCAAGTATATGGCAGCATTCACACCAGACCAAGACGTGCTCCGACCAGCATTGAATTGGATTGTTGTGAAAGAAAAACTAGCGCTACCTCACTCTTTCACTCCAGTGCAAGTCGATGCCAACCGGATGACGGTGGCCCAGCAGCGATGCCACATTTTTTTTCGAATTTAAATCTGCATTTTCATCGCAAAAAATCCTTTC